CGCTAGAGACAATCCTGGGGGATAGGGGCACTCACGTGGTTTTCTGAGGAAAGAGTAGAGTGATTCAGGGAATCGGATAAAGCCTAGCTGAGTTCCCAACAGCAATGGCCAGAGTAGGGACCAGGATGGATCCGAGGACTAGAAATGACTGAGCTCTTGATGAGTAGATTCTCTTGGGAAGAAGGGGTAAACTGGGGGTTGCCATCGTCTAGTGATCCAACCATTGAAGCCTTATTGAAAGATTGGACTCCCTTGACTTTGGGTGAGTCTTTTCCGTACGTGATTGAGTACTATATTGTAATAGTGAATATTGAATTAAAGGAAAAGGTCTATGTACTGGTGGCTAAGTATGTGGAAGCTAACGAGTATGATATAGGGCTTTACAATCGGAAGGGGAGAAGACTGACGGGCGCATTGTGGGGGTGCCAGAATTGGGCAGAGACGATAGCATACGCCTATAAGAGAAAGTTGGAGAACGAAGGAAAGAGGGTTACCCTGTGAATAAAGACAAGAGAATATAGCGTTTCCCCTAGCTCGCCTATTCCCGATAGTTACCTCGATGGAAGCAACTAGGAGCCTATGATTAATATGGTACTCAGGGCGCGATGCTGGGGAAGGTGAGTGATGAGTAAAGGACGATGGATTTCGAGTGAAGAATTGAAAGCAAGGAAGGAGAGGTTCCTTTCAGGGAATAGGCCAACTAGGGAAAAGTTTGAGGCCGTTTGTGCGTCGCTAAGTTCCTTAGGAAGGAGAGAACCAATCCCGTACGAAGTTGAGACATACGAGTTAGTGGATAGTGGTTGGGAGCAGATACGTCTCTACGTAATGACCGTGCGATTTCTCGGGACGGAAGTGCACGATGTGCGGATCTATTTACCAATAGAGAGGGAGGTCGATCTCGTTTACGGTCGATATTGGGAAAGAGCGAGAGAAGTGGTGGAAGATGAAAGAGATAGGTTGGCTTCGTTAGGCAAGACCGTCCTCTGGAGCACTCGAATTCCGTAATTTGAGCGACTTCCTAAGCCGTCGACGCCCGACGAAGTAATGAAGGACAGGAACCAGGGAAATGCGATTGAATTTGTCATGAGATATCGGGCTGTAAATGGCCAGAGATGATGATCTCCGAACCGATAACGGTAACGTAATTCGAGAAGGACTAAAATGGGAACTATTAAGAGCATGGTCTCAGGAGGACTTGTGCGCGCTAGGGACTTCGATCTGTAGGAGGTTGAGGTGCCCTGAGAATAAGCATTTCCTTTGTTTTTTTTTTTTGTTTTTTTTTTTTTTGCCAGATATAACAGGCAAACTATATCTGCACTTGTACTCAGCACAATTAGACTACGACATCTCTAAAGGATCTAAAAGTTCCAACTTCCTGCTCTGAATATCTGTTCAACTACATCGACCACATATCTGTTCATTTGCATTCATCATGTAAATTCATAATGGCGCTGGACCCACTGTCCACCAAGTAACAGGGGGGTTGCAGACACCTGGAATTGCGCTTGGACTAAGAGTTTGATCCCACCTCTAGTAGGCGAGGCACTTTTAGGTAATTTTCGGGATCACACCTCTTTCCACGCGAGGCGGAGGGGGCCCTCTTTTTTCGAGGAAGTGGAAACGATTCGGGACGTGGCAAGCCGGGCACATTTGCAGGCAACGCAGTTCTTTTGAAAGCCAGAAGACGCCCCCCCCTACCCTTCCCCGAAAAAAAATGCGGGGTTTTCCGTTTTTTTTTTTTTTTTTTTTTTTGATGTCCACATCATCGTCTTGAAACGTCCGCTCGTCCAAAGGGATGTGCGACGTGAGAAGAGTGCGAAGTGGCACGCGGCCAGCCGATGTCCAAGTACACGGCCACACGGGCCCCGAGCACGGAAAAATTGCCCAAGCCCAACGGACAACTCGGCCTGGGGCTGGCAGTGTGCACTGTGGGTGCCCCTCCCATTCGATGTTCTCGCGTACTGCCGGTGCCCGTCCCGTATCAACTATCCAACACGTCACCAACCCTCACCGTACCACAGTTGCTTTTACAGCACGGCAGTCGAAGAAGCCATCTCCCGGCATCGCTTCGTGGCTCATGCTTTCTTGCCAGGCATTGTATGACTTTCCGCCACGTGGCCAGTTGGCAGTCTGCCGCTTCCGCGACATCGCCGTTTGTTGGAAGTCCGCCACTTTCCGCCACATGGCCACTTTCTGCCACGAGGCCACTTTTTGGATGTCCGCCGCATTCCGCGCACGTGTCCATAGCACTGCCACACATTGCTGTTTGTTTGCCAAGTGGCAGGACTGCCGGATCCGACGGCAAAATTGGCGCCAGCTGGTTCCTTGTCAAGTGGCAGGACCGCCAGATCCGACTGTAAATTGGCACGCAGCTGGTTCCTTCGCTTTCCCCAGGTGCTCCATTTCCATACCGTGGAGCCCAGCGCCGTCGTCCCTGTGAACACCAACGTCTGCTCGCAGCGTTTATAAGAGGTATGGACCACTCTAAACACCCTGTGTATGTCTGATCACAATCCCCGTCACCGGCTCCCATGGACACAGGCCTGCAGGAAGTCCCACCATCCAACCCAGGCATTGCCAGTCTGGCCTTCCAAGGTTTGTCCACCGCTACAGGATCATCGGATATGCCATGCGTTGCTACGGCCTTGCCGAATGGTTGCCACCTTTGCCAACGTTCAAGCATCTGCACGCATCTGTGTACAGTCCCGGTAAAGAGCCACACAGTTTGACGTCTCTCCTTGCGGAAGGTGACACTTTTGGAGCAGCGCGATATGGAGCAACGGGAAATATTTTCCAAATTTACCTACTATTAGGATAGTCCCTGCTCCTTCCAGTTCTCCCATATGCAGCAGAATTCACCCACCAAAGCCACCTTCCTCTCCTTTCCGATCTCCGGGTCCACTAATAATATGCCGACAATCATTAACAGCGGGGTGGAAACAGAAGTAATGGACTTCTTCTTACTCAGAAAGGTGAGGGTCCTGGGTTTTTGGCCAAAGACAATCTTTAGACCTGACACGGCGATCCATAACCTAGAATTCGACCCGGCTGAATGGATGTGAACGCCGGATAAGACCAAGAACATCAAATCCAAAGTCCCAATTCATGAATACACCGCTAAACTGGGGTACAGGCTGCTGCTCAAAACTAAAGACCCAGACCTTATCATCAAGAAAAGATGGCAGAACTTATTGGGACAGGAGGCAGACAATAACCCAGATCCAGTGGAAGAAGTTCAAGTCTATTAGGCCACTTAAAATCAGAAGCTTACAATGGCTAATCACGTATGCTGCACTACCGGTGAATCAGTGGCTACATACCAGAGGGAAAGGCTCAGACCCTAACAGCTCGGACTTGTGGACAGTCTGCACAGAAGGGGCGGTAGAAGACATAGTACACTGCTTAATACTCTGTAGGGAGGTGACAGACTACTGGGCAAGAGCCTCGACACTATGGGACTCCCTTTTCCCGACCCCCTTCCCCCAACAACCCATCCAACTTCTCTTGCTGACTAACATCCCTGAATGGTAGCAAAAGGCAGAAAGGACCTGGTTCGAGATGATAAGGAAAGTGACACTGTGGGTCTATGCAGCAGAACGATCGAAGGATTGTCTAACCCACGCGAGAAGGTCTGGGCCGAGACGAAGACAATGATACAAGCTCAAATCCTGTGCAAATGGCGGAAGATTAAACAATCACGGACTGAGGATGAGGATCAACGAATGAAGGCGAGACGGAATTTCTGCAGAATTTGGTTGATAAATAGCGAAGTAGCAGACCTGCGAGAAGACCACATCCAGTGGAAGGACTGGCACAATTCCAATGCAGGGAGGGACCACCAGCAATAGAGAACGGTGGAGGGGCAAAGGACATCCGGAGCAAACCTCTATGAAGGAGACTTATGACTGCAACAATGGCAGGACAGTACAGAATGAAATGGACAAGACCCAAAGGTGCACCGAAAGAAAGGATCCCCCCGAGGGAGACCAACATCTGTTGTAATGATGGGACCCTTCAGAGGCGAGAAGTAGAGACCAAGACTTCATTGATAAGAAAAGACTACAGATCACTCAAGGAGAACGAGCAAGTGGCCGAAGAACCGAAAGTATATTATCAATGGTTGGTGGACGAGGGTTTAGGGTTTAGGGCTTAGGGTTTTAACGACATAAAGAAAAAGGGAGGGCAGATAAAAAGGGGACAGGGAGGGCGGTGACTCAGGAGCAGGATGGCTAAATGGACATTCACACGTTAGCTTGATAAGGGGCAACCTCTTTCTAGAAAGAATAGAATTATTTGACAGATCTGGGTTCCAGGTCTGAGAGGAAGAGTGTTGCACAGCAAGCTGACAGTCAATCCTCCGGCCAGACGGAAGGAAGCGTGCGTGTTCCTTAATGTAATGCATGTTTTGACTTGCCGGTGGAATAGGAGCCGGACTGACGCTCCCCAGAATAGAAGGAGCTAGGGCCATAAGGTCCTATTTTCTTTATAAAAAAAAAAAGATAGTCCCTGCTCACTGCTCAGTTAATCCCCTGGTTTCTGGGCCAATCAATGCTGTCAGTGGGAGATCTTCTTAATTTTTCAAGAAAAGGTGAGAGGAGTTGATGGTTGGATATTAAGCATCCTACTAGTGAGGGGGCTAGCTCGTAGGATGGAGTTAGGGTACAGCAGCAGCGGAGATGGTGGCTCTGCTGCAGTAAGGCTTGCCGGAGTGAGGTAAACAGGATTGATGGGGGGGTTCTGAGTCGTTTTTGAACTTTGTTTAAATTGCTGTCATGGCCTCGGTTTCTCAAACTTTTATACTTCTATGTACATTTCCATATGGGACGCTGGGCCCGGTTCCCAGCACGTGCTGCTCCCCACGAATAGATTGGAGCCTTKTTTTCAAAAAAAAAAAAAAAAAAAAAAAAAAAAAGAAAAGAATGCAGGAGTTCAATCACCATATCCGAACTGGGGGATGGCACGTGAGGGCGGGTTTGCATGTGATGGGTTAGCACGGGGCCGAGCGGGGAACAGCCACAATCTGCTCCTTCCCCGGTGGCCACATACTCCACGTCATGAGGGGTGGGTGGGGGGTTACCGAACACGTACGTGGCCCCCGGATGGAGGGTTGCTCTTCACCATCTTTTGCACAATCGCCACCGAACAGCACCCACGTTCGACCGCAAAATATGTACTGTTCAGACACCGGAGTTTACCTTGGTGCTGCACCTCTGACGGGGGCGCCCGCCTACGCCACAAGTGCTGATGTCCCGATGGGCAGCCATTGTCATGACTCAAGTGGAGGACAGCCCATCATCGACGGCGGCATGGGTGACACTTTCACAGAACCTGCCGTATACATCGCTGGGACCCAAGGTGGAGGACCTGCGACTGTCAACATCGACGACGAAGGGGCTACGCGGTCTAATGACGCCATTCCGCGAGCGGATCGTGGGAAAAGGGCTGTAGGGGAGGAGAGGGGAGGTCGTGGGGGGCAAAGCAAGGGCAAGGCGAGAGTTCGAGGTCCCGACTGGACAGACAAGGAGAGCATGGCGGTTGTGAGGCTGCTGTCTGAGGAAAACTGCATGCAGTAAAGCAGGGGAGGGAGGCAGAAGATCAGGGGGAGACGGGAGAAGTACGATTGTATTATTGGCAGAATGGTCGAGCAAGGCTTCCTGAAACGCGACATGGAGGGCTGCGAGGAAAAGTTCTATGCCCTTCTTGACAAAGCAAAAAAGATCCGGGATTACACAGGCGAATCTGGCAAGCCAAGCTACTGGGACATGTCACATTCCGATAAAAAGGAGAATGGCCTTCCATTGACATACGAGAAACACATGTAACATGTTCGAAGCTCTGCAATGGAAGCTTGGGAAGACGGACAGTTCATGTGAGGGCATGATCCACTGTGTCATTCTGCAGAGAGGGCATACCAACACTGTCACAGATGATGAAGACATCGGCGGAGGCAGTGAGAATGGAGGGAATGGGCGAACAGCGGATAGTGACAGCGCAGAGGGTTCCAAGTCTCGGCGGACAGGGGGAGCGAGCGGCCACAATCGGCATTCTGCACCAGAGACTTCAGCTGACGCATCAAGGGGAGGTTCATTCGCCAACATAGCACATGCTCTTGTCGACGCAAACGACCGTCATCCTGACAAGATCGCAGGGAGTTTCGTGCACGCCATGGACGGAATGAACAAGACCACGGAGGACGGTAACAGGACGCTGTTGCAATGCTTCGCGATCCTTTCAGGTGCGATGGTGGGACTTCCTCCGGAGTGCGACAGGCATTGTCACGGTGATGGTCGCGCGAACGATGGCCGGTGATCGTGACGTCATGTGCCATGGGTGGACCATTGGAGCTGTCTGTAATTGGTCCGTTTGTTTCCACACATGTAGTGTTTGGTTGTATGTGTGTGTGTGCAAATTTCTCATCATAATCTTTTCTAAATTTTTGGTTATCCTCTGGGCTAATTGCGCACACCGTGCGGGTTCGTGGCTGCGGCAGTTCGATCTGTGCGTGTCACATTGCTAATGGCTTTCTTCCAGGATTCCTGAAAGAAAGCGCGCACGCGTGGTGGCAAAGTGTTGTCTTGAAGTTCTCCGATGAGCGGTATTGGAGAGGTTGTGGACATGGCCAGAGATTTTGTGCTAACCGACAGACGGCTCATCGAACAAGCACATGAGCTCACGCAAAAGCGGGGGGTTGTTGTTCACTCCCGTGTCGAGTATGGTGGAGGAGCTGTTAGCCTGTAACGTCTGCAAGGCGAGGTGGAGAAGGCAAACATTAGAGAGGGGTTGGCCGTCTCAAGAGCCGAAGCTGCGGAGCGAGCTGTTGCTCTTCTGAGGGAGGAAGTGGCACGCCTGCAGCAGTAATTATCACTTTACGAAGGGGACTCCAACCATACCCCTGTAGAGCCCGACTGTTTCATCACAACTGTGCAGAGCCCTGGCTGCAGGCGAGGAGGAGCCGTCGCCAGTGTCACAGTTTCGGTGGGTCACATGCGACGTGACTCGACTCAACGCACACCTCCGCGGAGGCGGGTGCCCGCTGTTACCAGATCGCCTTCATCGCAGCCAGTCGTGTTGCCGGACACCAACCGCTGTGACGTCACGGCGGTCGCTGATCAGTTGAGGAGAAGTATGTGTATGGAGGCCGATTCCGTGGCCGGCTCTAGGTAGCTCTGTGTTCCAGGGTAGCCGTTCGGAGTTGCGCACCGCCGTTTGTTTGTTTTTTTCGTGTTTTTTTTTCCCCGCTTAAAATACTGTGTCCGTTTGTTGGGGGTGCCCACCTATGGCTGGCCACTTCGGTTTCTGTCTAGGTGCTCGGGTCAGTGGGTCGCAGTCGCTGACCTGCAGTTTTGATGGGTAGGTAGCGGGCATGCAAGTCCATTTTAAGGTCCGGCGGTTACGATGTTTGTCATCCTCCTTCGTGAACTGATGACACCACATCTTCTCTATGTTTACATCACCGTGGAACAGTCTTTTGGCGTAGTGCTTTTTTAAATGTGGGCCATCAACGTCTTTCATGTTTTGCATTCGATTCTTTGGTTCAAATGTGTCATGGTATGCCAAGTGTTGGTATGTGCTCGGAACACAGGTGCGGAATGAGATTTCCCTATGTTTTTGTTCTCCTCCCGCCACAAAAAAATGATCGTGCATCGTGCCATCCACTTGTGTGACATACAGTACGGCAACCTTTGTTTAAAATGTGCAGCTTTGGTAACTCCATGTGGCAATTTGCTGATGTGACATTCAGAACTTTCCTGATCTTGTGCATGACGCAGCACAGCATCTCTCGCCGTCTGTCATCCAACTACCAAGAGTGCAGACGAAAAAAGAAAAAGAAAAAAAAGAAGACGATGACTCTCAATTTCTCAAATGCACGAACAGTGTAACATTATGTATCGAACAACTGCTCCATGCTCACAATACACAGCCTTTGAAAAGGAAAACATTATTTTGTTGGATCGAAGCATACAGAAACTGTGCACCACCGGAATTGTCCCATTCTGTGCCGCACCCCCGTTCATGAACGGGGGGGTCTGTGACGGGACCCCGGGCACCGTTCACAAAAATGGTGACTGCCGGGCGGTCACAGCAGTCACGGGAAGCGGGGAGCATTTTTTTTTTTTTTTTGGCTGGGGATGGTTTTTTATTTTCTTGGAGTTGTGTTGTGTAGGCATCTGTTTACATGCCCGCATTTTTTATTTTTTATTTTGGCACGGAATACAATTTTTTTGAATGAAAATTTAAAAAAGGGGTAAATGGTCATTTATTTTTGTGAAAAAACGGAAATTTGGCTTTTTGTTTTTTTTTTTTGGG